GTCATGCCTTTTCATCTCTTTCCACAGGTCGTAAGTATCAAGGTTGCTGATTTTAAGGAGGTGCTGGAGAGGGGCATGACGCCTTGGATAGAGAGCGGGTGTAAAAGGAAGAACGTGCACCTGGCAAACTAAACTCTTATAAGGCTAAGACAACCCAAGAATGGATGGGTTACAGGCTCCACGATCACGTCACCCCAAACATATGGCCCCCCCTAGCTTTGCAGACTTGAATCCATTGGACTATTATGTATGGGGTGTAGTCGAGAAGGATGTCGATGTCTTTTATTAAATTCATGCAAATGTCCTCAAAGAATTGATCCACCATTATATATATACTATATATATATATATTAAAGTCAACAGTATTGATACTTACGCTCTGATATATATATATATATATATATATATATATATATATATATATATATATATATTATTGAAAATTTCTTAGTGTTAACCTGTAGAAAAAATAAACAATATCTATAAATGTAAAAGACAATATGAAAACTGTAATATTAGCAGACGCGTTTCGTCCAATATGGACATTTTCAAGGCAAAAACTAATTGAATTTATTAAAACAATCATTATATATATATATATATATATATATATATATATATATATATATATATATAGTTTATGCAAATTTAGGTAATCCGTATGGGTAGACCTGAGGAGAATGATATCCAGAGAGCTCAATGTAAAATTCAGAGCAGATATGTTTGAATAAAAAATTAATTTCTTCGTAGATTGTTTTAAAATTTAGATATTTATCAAACCATAACCTCCCAAATATGCACGTTAAAGTAACGCGAACTGACAGCGTCTAAGAATTTGAATGAAACCTGTCGTGTAATTTATTGGGGTTGTGTAACGTCTTCCTTTAATGTAGTCCTTATCGCTCACCCCTTAACCACCTTTATCTAGAGACGAGACGCGTTAAATTTGAACAATATCCAGCCGACACACTGGGGTTAAAATAGGAAACTAAAATGATACATATGACACACTCATATCCTCTCTCCAACCTCACTTCCTCACTTCGTTAACTTTGCGTATACTTGATGAGGTCCGTAAAAAACGTGTGAATTTCTTTTCATTTTTCATTTCAGCTTTTGGAAGTAAAGTCTGATGATCCAGAACCCAGTTAGAGGGGTTATGGTGAAATAGCTTATTACATGGAATCTTAACGTGGTCTGTCTTTTATTCAAACATATCTGCTCTGAATTTTACATTGAGCTCTCTGGATATCATCCTCCTCAGGTCTACCCATACGGTTACCTAAATTTGCATAAACTATATATATATATATATATATATATAATGGTTGCTCAGTTCTCATCACGATAATTCTAACTATATATTATAGTTATGACTTTTTTCTGGAAACAGAATATATCAAAATACTTTTACAAACTTTGGAATCGGGTTCCTGATACCAACACAAGTACAAAAATGTAATAGACATTTCGATTCGAACATAATGTATTAATTTTAATAATGAACATAGGGAAAAAACACACATAGTTCTCCACAATTTTTTTTGTTGATCTCAGTAATACTTGCGCTTCTTTTTCTTTCTGGCGATTGTCAATTAGATTACTTGCCTTCGATGTGTTAATTTCTCCAAACCTTCTTTTCTCATTATGCGTTTTCGGCCGTTTCTATGTGGTACTTATTTTCCTTAAATCATCTATATTCATCACATAACCAGTTCAGGATATTCTAAAAAGTCGTTGATAGTACCACGAGTCGCTTGCTTCAAGTAATTTTCTTCCTTTCTGACATCTTTTATTGAACCGTTGCTATAAAAGCAATAACCCTTTCTGGCCTATTGTTTCAGTTAACGCCTTCTGTTGGCATCCGATTAGATGAATCTTGAAGTTAGAGCATTTGACTTGTCCGCCAAGGCTTCGGGCAGCCAGGAACAGATATACTTTGCCAAATTCGATCATTCGACCAGAAATAGAGAGGTAACGCCTCCGGATAGGGTTGATGGCGGCCTTTTTTTTTTGTTTCCTGGGCCAGGTCATCTGGCTTTCGACGCGGAAAAATAATAATAATAGATATAAGTTGGACAGCGTAGATGGGAATAAACCTGTATTGTTATCGACTGAGAAAACTCGGTCCTTGCAATAGCTAAGGCGTCATCTTCAAAAGATGAGTTGAAATATATAGTACTGGTTAATTACTGAGAGAATAGAGTTATATGTATACTGGCAATATATTGCTAATGATTTTACTATGAAAATAAGAAAAGGGTGAAGAAGAAAGGGATTATCAGTAGCCATGAATGAATGCATGCATCACTGTAATATAGGGTAATACATTGCTAATGATTTTACTATATGTAAGAGTTGAACATCAGGAGGTGTAATTGCTGTAGCTCGTATTTTCAAGATAACAGAGGTAAATAAATAAGGAAGACTATCTTTTAGGTAAGTAATGAAATATGTCTACTACACGAAGGTATACTTAGCAATAGACCTAATGCTAACTCGGTACTTAACGGAGACCCCCACAGAGCGGGATGTGGCTCAAAGCCGGTTTGACGTGGGTTTTTCCGAGCCTTGTAGGGCCGGTCAAAAATTTCCCGTAGACTCTGTAATAACGGGGTCGGGTTTGTCTACCTGACCAGACGAGACTCTGCCCTTCGACATAGTCCTGTCTGGGTTCATCTCTATCCGAAGGCAGAGAATTCGGCAAGAACTAAGAGCTTAGCACGCGGCTAAGACCTAATGCTAACTCAGCTTCGCTTAACTCCGCTTGTTTATATAAATGCACGATTCCATTAATTTATGTCCTATATCTATCTATCTATCTATCTGATGACTCGGTATTTACCTCGCCTTACCACAGAGTGTTCGACAAGCACTAAGAGCTTAACACGGGGCTAACAACTAATACTGACTCTCCTGAACTTCGCTTAACTCAGATTATTTATATAAACGGACGATTCCATTTATTTCTGGTCTATATGACACTATCTATCTATCTATCTATCTATCTATCTATCTTTGCACATCAAGATATATATGTTTACACATATCTATCTAATACTGTTTATATTTATATATCTATCCATCTAACACTGACGTTAGTAGGACCCGTCCAACCCTCAAAAGAAATGAGAAATACCTCTGTATTCCGACTACAGACAAAATTAAGATGCTCTCTCGCTGAGGGAGAGAGAAAGATAAAATTTTACCTCGTCCCCCCCCTCAGAGTGTTCGACAAGCACTAAGAGCTTAGCACGCCGACTAATGCCGACTCTTTTCAACTTCGCTTAACTCAGCTTATTTACCTAAACGGACGATTCCATTCATTTATCTCCTATATGAAAATTATACAAATTGTTGATGTTTCTTTTTACTATAGATCTGAATTGAAAATCAGGAAGAAAATGATTGTCAAAGGCCAGTAAAGAATACAAGTATTACTAAAATTATGGAGATGGCATTGATGATGTAAATGTTATGGTCCAGGTTAGGACCAAGGAAGAACAACACGAACACAAGAGTAGAAATAACGAAGGTATATTACACGAAATAATAATACAAGATGTGGAAGGTGTTAGTTTGACTGTCAGTCTGGTTTGAAGTGAACTACTATCGGCTCGACTCGATTCGGTATTTACTTGCCCTCTCCCTACGAGGGAAAGATGTGGCACATGGCCGAGTTTTATGTGGGCTTCCCGAGCCCGTAGACTTGGCCAAAAAATGCCCGTAGACCCCGTATAAACAGGATCGGGTTGGTCAATCTCCCCGAACGAGACTCTGCCCTTCGGCGGAGCCTCGTCCGGGTTCCTCTCTGCTCAGAGGCAGAGAGTTCGACCGTCAAGCTGAGAAGCTCGGCTTGGTTCGTTCCTCTCTCTTGAAAGGCGTAGTATACATAGTGTTAGGAAGAGTTCATTCTGTAGTTATAGGTAAGGACCCATGACAGTAAATGTACTGCTAATCTTCTTCTATGTGGAATGTGAATTCAGGACTAAAAACCTATTCTGCCATCTATACGCTCAAGCTAATTATGTGGGTTATACGTTATTTTCCTATGTCCCCCTAGACTTCAATCTGTCCTGTGTGTACCATATTTTCCTCGCCTCTTTCCTTATTATGTGCCCTTGAAATTCAGCTATCTCTTTTTGACGTTAAGTATAGATATCATTTCAGTTCCAGCTTCTCTAAAACTTCGTCGTTGCTCGCATGTTCAGTCCATGGTATCCTCGGCATCTTTTTGTAGAACCATATTTCTGTTGCTTCAAGTCTCTTCTTTATCTGTGAGGAGATTGTCCAGCATTCAATGCCGTATGTGAACTGTATAACTGTTCAGTACTCTTTTCTTTTTTCCTATTTCTTAATAAGTTGCTTAGCTTTTAAAAGGTATCTTTCGCTATCTCAATGCGTCTTCTGATTTCGGTGTTGCATTTTCGGTCCATTTTTAAAACGCTTTCTAAATATTTGAATATTTGTACTTCTTTTTTTTTTACAATGAGAGTCACCCTTTACAAGGCCCGGGGCAAGTCAAAGTAGGGGTTTACTTTAGGAGACCAGTTGTGTGCATAGGTGAGGGAGATAACGATTAACTCTACCCTTGACTAGGTTAAGATTGTAGAGATCGGGTAAGCATCCTGTTGTGAATCGATTCTACAGGGCTGTGGTTTGCTGCCCGAGAGGAACTTACTTCTAACCGATGGAATATGGAGGGAATGTAGGTAGTTTGCTACTATGTAAGTGGCATGGTGGGTTCTTTTCATGAATGTTTGCCTTGCCGGGACCAGGGAATATAGTTCGTCCGAGCACTTTCCTCACACACGGAGACCATTTTGAACACTTTTAAGAATGAGGTCTTGGCATCTCCCGCCCAAATATGACAAAAGCACTCTATTTTGGGCCTGATCTGGCTCTTGTAACGGTAGAGGATAGCAGGAGGAGTCTAGTACTTACTGAAGCGGTACAGAGAGTCGAACATTTTTCCGGCATCCTTCTTGGGGTGAAATTCTTTAAAAAACAACAAAAAGTAGATATGAACAGAGTGAGATAGATAAATAGATAGATCTAATTGACAGACAGATAGACGAACTGACAGATAGATAGATATGAACAGACTGAGATAGATAGATAGATAGATTGATAGATAGATAGATAACGAACAGCATGCGATAGATAGATAGATAGATAGATCTGAACAGACTGCGATAGCTAGCTAGCTAGATAGATATGAACAGACTAAGCTAGCTAGCTAGCTAGATAGATAGATATGAACAGACTAAGCTAGCGAGCTAGATAGATAGGAAAATGGGATAGATAGATAGATAGGAACAGAATGGGATAGATAGATAGATAGATAGATATGAACAGAATATGCTAGCTAGCTAGCTAGATAGATAGATAGGAAAATGGGATAGATAGATAGATATGAACAGACTAAGCTAGCTAGCTAGATAGATAGATAGGAAAATGGGATAGATAGATAGATAGATAGATAGATAGGAACAGAATGGGATAGATAGATAGATAGATAGATAGATAGATAGATAAGAACAGACTATGCTAGCTAGCTAGATAGATAGATAAGAAAAAATTGGATAGATAGATAGGAAAAAATGGGATAGATAGGAATAGAATGGGATAGATAGATAGATAGGAACAGAATGGGATAGATAGATAGATAAATAGGAACAGAATGGAATAGATAGATAGATAGATAGATAGATAGATAGGAACAGAATGAGATAGATAGATAAATAGATAGATAGATAGATAGATAGATAGATAGATACTGAGTTAACTGGCAACTGCTCAGACATGCTATTTTCCCTGGTGCCTACATGAATTTAAGCCTGCTACTAGGTTGGCATCTAGGTCCCACCCTTTTACTGTTGAAACAGTTAAATGTAACCGCCACTTCCAACAGGTTCCCGACAGTAGATCTCTCTTCCTCTTACTTGCTTCCCTAATAATTACAATCTTCGAACATTTAAATACAACGTCAATCATCATCTTCTGATGCCTTGATCCCCGTTCTTCCTTTTATCTTTTCCTCAATCCCCATATACCCAGTCTTTTCTCTTACACGCTACATACTAGTGGCACACCCACTTTCTTGGGGTGAAGTGCTTAAAAAAAGCCGCAAAAATTTAAAAGAAAATTGAAAAAGATCTATCTGAAATGCTGTTTGATTTCAGTGAGAAAAAAAGTAAAAAAAAAAAGAAGTCAATAATGTTTGAGTGTTAATATCTAGTTCTGTGAAAATGTAAAAACTAGGCAATTTCAAATTTTTGTCATTTGTACCCTCTTACTTCTTTCAATAATGACCTGCATTCATATTTATGGTTGCCCTTTTCCATATTTTGTTACAGTTGTTAAGCTCAAGTATTTGACGACGTAACAGAATAATTTACACGGGTATGTTGCGTGCTGTGTCGCCATTTCAGAGATGGTATAATAGAAAGACGGTTTCTTTTGCTTACTCGTTTTTATTAGAGGATAGGGACAGATGTGGCAGCATGGCTTCTAGGAGGCAGCGGGAGGAAGAACTTCACAGGGACGAATGCCGCTCGTTGACTTAGCGTCTCTCCGCCTGTGGCCTTGCCTGTCTCACGAACCTGGGTGCTAGAAGCGTATCGATGCTTCAAAATTCTCGCGAGACTTCACATCTAACACAAAGCAATCCGTCAGAATACCACGCCCATGAGGCAGTCTGACCAATCGCCGACCATCCCGGCCTAGAATCTGCATTCTCCAACAATATTTATTGCTGTGGAAATTATAAGGAGCACATTCAATCATTAACAGAATAATTAATGCAAATAGGACAATTGTTAAATTTTCACTGGTATTTTTAATTGTTATAATAACTCTGTTAAATTTTTAGTTATTGTTACTAATCATTTATTATATTTAACAATATACACATTGTCATATAGGAAGAAAATGGGTAACTACTGGCAGCGAGGTTCGAGCGTGACACTCTGTACATATAAATCTATGTTTTTCGCCAGTTGTATAAATAGCGGTGTCAGGCTACTGACTGCAGAGATTATTGAGTGGAACTATCCAGTCGAATTAGTGTGAATTATTGTGCGTCAATGATTTGTGTTTTGATTTAGGATTTACTGGACGTCAAACCGAGCCGCACTACTAACAAGGTATTCACTGAAATATTTAACTACTTTTGGTTCACTTTTACTTCTTTGTTCTTGTTAAGTATTCATTTGCGCTTGTAAATAAATGCTGTTTTATCGTAACATTTAAGTCTTGAATTATACTTTTTTAAGCATTACGCCCCGAGCAAGGCGTGAAGCCACTAGGATGCAGGGGGTTGCAGCAGAAGATTTGGAGCGAGAGCAGATAGGAATGATAGAAGAAAGGATGAGGAGAAGGATAGTGGATAGATCAAGGCTACTGGAGATGTCGATTGACATTACATTTGAATAGCTGGAGATTATAGCTCTCAGGGAAACAATAATTGGGAAGGGTGTTCCACAGGCGAGGGGTGCGAAGTATGAAGCTATTGGAGTAGAAGAGACGGCTACATTTAAAAGTTTCTACAGTGAAAGGGTGGGAGCGGGATGCCAGCCTCGTAGGGCGCTTGAATTCATGAAGTCTGGGAACCAGTGAAAGCAGATCATCGGAGCAATTACCATGAAAGTATTTGTAAAAAAGACAGAGAGAGGCGACGGCGCGTCTGGGAGAGAGCAACTGTAGACGAGATGCCAGATCAGGGCCAATTGTATTACATATCCGTCTCTGGATCTTGTCAAGAACTCCGAGGTAAACAGAAGGTGCCCCAGACCATATATGGCAGCAATACTCCATGCAAGGGCGAATGGTTGATTTGTATATTTGAAGTATCGATTCCGGGGAGAAAAATTTCCTGGCGCGGCACAGAGAGCCAACTTTCCTCGCGGTGGACATTAACGGCCACCGTACGTCACAAAACATTAAACACTAGACTTTCTGACATTATATTGATATAACTGTTTTATTTTGCGATAATCTATTGTTCTTAATCTCCTATTGTATCAAATAAGATCTACTTTTGCCCGTTACAGTTATTCTTACAATTCTTTTAACATATTATTTCTTTTGATAATCTTCGCAGTCAGTTACGTGGTGCAAGTTTGGGCGATCATGTCTCTTTCGATATATGACTGACTTCTGAGAAGACATATCCCGCAGTTTCTTTCTGCGATAGACTGGTTGCCAACGAAGGCTAAACAATCCCATCTTTCCTGCTATTTAACCCATAGCTGGGGGGAGAAGAGAAGGATTTTTACATTTCTCAAGTGTACTTGAGCGTAATATAACGAACAGGACTCGAATTCAAACTCTGCTCTCCCATTCTGAGCCGATATCTCTTACCCCACAACGCACAGCCCCATCCAGATTTACGGCCCCTTGTTTTAAGCATCTTCATGTTGTGGGCATTCCTTCTTTTGGAATTAATCCCGCAGTAGGTCGCCATTTCTTTATGCGGTTTACTGGTTCTGAGCATTACTCCTTTGGACTTAATCCCAGATAAATAATGGATCCACGTGATGCCAGTTGAATATAGCACATATCCGAAATGCTTAATGCATGGGACGACGCTGCGAAAAGTAAATAGCAAGACAAAATGGTTCTAACCAAGAATTATTCCTCTGCATTAACAGAAAAAAACGAGGATATTTTCCTAACTTCTCCGAGTTTGTTGGCCTTCGGTATACCATTTCATGTTAATTTACACATGCATTTGTCTTATTTAAAATATATATTTTTATATAAGTTATGTTAAGTCTAATTTAAAATAGCCTAAACACGCATATATTATGGTTAATTTCCGCCTAGCAACAGAATGGGGGTCACGTGGAAGTCTTGTGACATTTTGGGAAAGCAAGTCAAGAGGTTGACTGACCCAATTACCCGTAGCAACAAATGTCTAGACAGAAGCTAGACAGGGGACTGATGTAAGCTGAAATTCGCGTCAAAACTTAAGACACGTGAGAGTCAGAAATTTACTTGGGAGTCAGTTGCTGTCTTGTTTTTGAAGGAGTAGGACTTGAAATCGAAGCGCTGATAATTTATGAACGGAAAGATAAGACTCATTTGATAATGATGGAACTTGTCCGATTCATCCCAGGCAACTCCGGACAAGAAATATAAGAACAAGTATTTCTTTTCGATAACCCCAAATTGAAGACGCAGAGAAATTTGTACGCTGAGAATACAGCCTGCGTTTGAAGAAAAGAGAAAACCAGAGAGTAAGAAAGTATATATCTCTGTTACAAGCTGAATTGTGTAAAGAAAGAAAGAAAGAAAGAAAGAAAGAAAGAAAGAAAGAAGAAAACCAAAGAGAGGAAGAAAGTGTATATCCCTGTTGCAGTGAGTCGGGTTAGGAAACTGAACTGTATACAGACGAAGAAAGAAAGAAAGAAAAAAGGAAAAAAAGAGAGAGGAAGAAAGTGTATATCTCTGTTACAGCCGGACAGTGTGTGAAATCGTATTTGTGTCAAGAAAAGAAAAGAAAGGACAATGATACAAAAGAGAACTGAATATAAAGATAAGTAATCATATATTTTGGACCCGTATTAGAAAGATACACATGCATCCATAAATATTATGTTCTTACAAACACCTTTCCAGATGTCAAAATAATAATTATAACTCCTATCCCATCTCTTTTGTGTATGCGTTGATTTCTGCATTCGTAGTAATTCATACTTATATTTTAATCCGTTCGGGTTCAGTCGAATCCATTTGGAGTTAGGCATATTTTGATATCCCAACGTAAGTCTTGAGATCTGGTCGTCGGATATTTTACTCATGCTTATATTTTCTTTTATTTTAATATTTTTATATCTTTACATATTAAAGTGATTGTATCAAAAATCGCTAAGCCTTATCGTTCATCCTTGAAGTGTGGATCAGTATTCGTGTTGAAACCGAAGCTGACCTGGGAAAAGATTACTGTTCGATTATCCTAATTGAACAGTGTTCTTAAAATATTTTTTTGTTTACCAATTGTCCATTGTCATGATCTGAGAGAGATAGCCTGTATCTCTCCACAGGTGTGAGAATGTATATATCTTCTGGTCGGCGTATGATCGCCTTATAAACCCATTCGTCGACTAGGGCATATGACACAGTCAAGGAGTTACAGAGAGTGAAAGTAAGATTAAAGAGGGGTGTTTGATGAAAGGATATAGAGAAGGACGGGGATTGGAATCTAGACATCAAAAGATGTCGATTGACATTGCATTTGAATATTTGAAGATTATAGTTACCAGTGAAGCAAGTAAGAGGAAAGGAGTTCCACTGCAGGGAAGTGCGAGTGAAGAAGCTCTTGGGGTAGAAGAGGCGGTTATATTTAACTGTTTCGACTGTAAAAGGGTGGGATCGAGAGGCCAACATAGTAGCACGCTTAAATTCATGCATTTGGGGTACTGAGCAGTTACCTTGAAAATATTTGTAGAAAAGACAGAAGGAAGTCACATCACATCAGTGAGAAAGTGACTGTAGACGAGATGCCAGAACCTATCACACTGCATATCCGTTTTTGAAGTTTGTCGAGGACCTCGAGATGAACAATAGGGGAATCAGACCATCAAAGGCAACAGTATTCAATGGAAGGACGAATGATTTATTTGTAGATTTGAAGGATGGATTCAGGCGAGAAAAACCTTCTGGCGCGACACAGAGAAATCAACTATCCTTGCAATAGATGAAGCTATTGATTCAATATATTTTATCCCGCCTCAGGTCAGTGGAAAGTATGAGATGAAGAAGGCACAGAGAAGCGCACTCGTGGAGTTGAGCATCAGCCATTCTGATGGGAAGCAGGGAGGGATCTCTATGGTGGGTAAATGAGAGCAGTTTCATTTTGAAGGCATTAAAGTTTACAAGCCAATTCCTGTCCCAGTCAACGACACAATGGAGATCCTTTGCGAGACCAGCGAATGTTTATTGCTTTTAAATTTATTTTAATACATTTTGAAATTCATTTTTTTTCAAAATATATATTCAAATATTTCCATAAGTATGGATAATTGGCTTAATAGTTCCTTTTACTAGTTGATTTCTCCGTCCTGGGTATGACGATAAACTATATCCGTGTCCTGGGTAAGACGATAAACTACGTCCAACAACAAGCTTCTGATTAGGAGGTTTTGAGGAGCGTGGAACCACCTCTTAATTGCTGGTGTTTCCAGCTCCACCCAGACCCGGAGTGGTAGCATATGTTAGGGTCCCAGCTATGGATAAATAGTTAACCCCAAACTGGAGTCAAAATGACATGAAAGTGTAAAAATAGGTCTTAATACCAGAAAAAACTTTTTTGCAAAAAATTATTACCAGCAAAGAAATTTGAAGAAAAAAATATTTAAAAAAAAAATATTACCAGTAATAAAAATCTCGTCGGCATTAAATAGCTCATTGAGGTTGATTTCTAAATTAAACGCCATTAATTTTATGTGTTTATCACTAAAAAATTGTGTAAATTTGGACGAATCTTCCACGGATAAAACGGAACTGTTTTTCATCCATTCCTTGCGAATTTATCATGTAGGACTTAATTCTAGTTCGACTCATTTTCCAAATGTGGACAAGACCCAACCCCTCGTCCCCACAGTAAATTCTTGCAGTCATTCAATCTTAAGTGATTTCGTATATCCTCTTGGGGGAATTGATCCATTTTTTTCTTGTATTATGAGAAGAAAAAATAGACGGGACGAATTTTGAAATGAGAAATGAGTGTTGTTATCACAATAAGAAAATGATACCTGTCGAATTTTCGAATGTTCACAAAACCGGTGATAAAATCATACACACTTGAGCTTGAATTCCTAATGAGATTAAGGATTAGCGTCACATACTGTCATTAATATGCCATTTTCTTCTTCTTCTTCTTCTTCTTCTTCTTCTTCTTCTTCTTCTTCTTCTTCTTCTACAATAGAATAACACTCTATTTTAGGAAAATTAATAACAAAGTGGAAAAAGTTTTACGTGTGACGAGTTTTGTCATTTAGGACTTCATCGGACCAAAAAGATGTTGACGTTGATACAACTTTACATGCGTACGAATAGGATAGGACGCCAAAATTTTAAATGGATTTTTTAAAATTTAAAATAGCAGTGTTCCTGTCTAGCATGAAACAGCCTGTCGCCTCTAAGTGTTGACTTCAATGTCCACTTATATATATATATATATATATATATATATATATATATATATATATTAAAACGAGACTTTTACACAAACTTTCCCCGTTTTTCTCGAGCTATCATTTCAGCTCTGAAATTGACGACATTATATGAAATGGTTTTTATCCGATAAATATTTAATATATTTTCTGTTGATATGTTTTTTTATGGATACACATATTTGAGTAAGTAATTTGAACTTTGCTAAACCGGAAGTTCTTCGTAGCCGAACAATCATAGGACATCAGGCTTAAAGACGTTTCAGTATAGGATACAAGTTCGACTTCTGTCGGAGGACGCATATTTTCTTCGAAATTTCTCAAATATTCAGGCCGGTAAATGTAATTAATAGCGTTTAATTAAAAAAAGAAAATTGTCAGATTCAATCCATTCTATATAATATATGTACAGTTGACGCCAAAATTATTCCTACACCCATCAATGTTGAATACGTTTATCCGTTTCTCAGAATCTAAAGCCTGTGTGATGCCAGGGTTTTATATGTTAATAAGAACAAAAAATGGAATATAAAACTCAGTTTTCAGAACAATAGGTTAAATACAATAAATTTAACAGGCGAATTATGCGAAATAAGAAAAGACAAAATTATTCGTACAGTCGAAAATATCGTTTTAAATAGATTGATTTGTGTAAGTAATTTGCATAATTATTTTTATCAGTGAAGCCTTCTAGCCTATTTATTCAGTAGAATAGTTGTGATGATTCCAGCAAAGAACATCACGTGGTACATAGAGTATCGCCATTGTTATTCTTACGTTAACAACACGATGGGGAAAAACAAGGGAACTTAACGTTGACTTGAGACAGAGAATTATTAACTCAAGTCGTGAAATAGTTATAGAGTTATTTCCAACCGGTTAGCTATCTCTAGGTCTTCAGTACAGTTCATTATAAAGAAGTTTAAACAGTTTAGCACGACAGAGGATTTACCTAGGCGTGGAAGAAACCCCAAATTGTCACTAAGGACTGCACGAAATTTGTGTCGCGAGGTTAATATAAACCCAAGAGTTCTTTTGAAAGACATCGCCAAAAGTTTGGAGACGAGGTGTATCAGCATAAGTACTCTCACAATAAACGTTGTTTAAACAAAAATGGGTTGTACGGAAACCGACCATGGCGAACCCTATGTCATAAAACATGTCACTTTTTTGCTCTTGTTTAATTTTCTCCAAACGTTCTTGGACGCAGAAAATTGTTTTGGAAACAAGTACTAAGGAGTGATGACAAAAAAAAATTAGCTTTTTAGAAAATATTGATGTAGAGATGATTTGCGCAAGAAAGGTGAGATTTTCCTCCAAAAGTACACAACATGGGCAACATTAAAACATGGCGGTGGCTCGATGATGTTTTGGGGTTGTTTTAGCTCAAGGAAGACTGTACAATTAATTGCAAAAAGAGGAATAATGAAATCTGCAGCCTATATGAAAATTCTGGATGAAAATTTACAACTACAAAATCTTCATCTAGGTTGGCGATTTACTTTTCAGCGAGATAATGATCCCAAACATACGTCTAAATCAGTGACTGCGTGGCTTCAGAAAAAGATTATATTTCTGCGATGGTCTTCAGTGAGTCCTGACTTGAATCCTATTGAAAATCTATGGCAAGAATTGAAAGTTCAAATAAATCGTCGGTCACCGAAAACCTGCAGGAATTAGAACGTGTAACCATTGAAGAATGGAAGAAAATCCCAGAAATATTTGTTCAAATTTCATCAAGAACACGAGAAGACGATTGCAAAAAAAAAAATAACAAAAATAAAAAGATGAGAGGTCATGCTATGGAATATTAATATCGTGAAAATTGTTCAATTTTTTCTATTTTTCATACTGTACGAATAATTTTGTCTTTTCTTATCTTGCATAATTTGCCGGTCAAATTTGTTGTATTTAACGTATTGTTCTGAAAATTGATTTTTATATTCCAACATTGTGCGTATTAACATATAAAAAACTTGTCATGAAACGGGCATTAGATTCTGGGAAATGGATAAATATATTCAAAATTTATCGATGTACGAATAATTTCGTCGTTGACTATATATATATATATATATATATATATATATATATATATATATATATATATATATATATATATATAATGAAATGGGTAGATGGAACCGCCATTTATATTCTAATGGTTTCTTTTCTCACACCTGTGGAACTCCCTTTCGATTCCTGTTAGCTTGCAACTAACAAACTAAAGTGAAATGGTTAATATATATATATATATATATATACACACATAATTAAGAAATTCATCGATTCTGAAAGAAACCTCAACAGAATGCAGAAAGCATATTTGGGACTCATCAGCAGTGCGCATCCACTACCGAGAATTGAAACCCTGACAGTTATCATGCAAACGTCATACCAACTGTCCCAACGTGCCTCGGTGACAAAGTGGTAGCAAATCAGAATCAATATAGCGCTGATCGATCACATATTTTGTTTGCATGGAAGATTTCCACGCAACGACAAACTCGTGCCTACGAGCCACTGGAAGCGAAAATCGCTCCACGGCCAATGACATCACACATGACCACGCG